TTGAACCACGGTCCCTGATGCTTTTGCTAAGCTTGTTCCAAGTAGGTGCTTTAGACCACTGAGCCATCTCTCCAGCCCCCACATACTATCTCTTAAACATCTTTCACAGGCTTTCACCAGTGTGCTGTCTGTTGGGAGTGGCTAAAGCTGGAAACTGGTCATGTGTGAGGGCAGAACAAGGCCGTGGGGCCTAAATCAGTCAAGCTACCTCAGTCTTGAGAAAAGCATTTTGCCTAGGCAATTTCAGTCATTAGTTGCTAGGCAACTTTGCAAAGGTATAAATAAATGTCCCTACAGTTGTTTGGGTCTTCTGCCCTTCAGACATGGGCCTCCACCTGACCTCAACTATTGTCTCATTTTTATTTTCTAAATCCCTCACTGTTTTCTCCTGGGAACCACTGAGAGACCCAGGCAGCACAGGAGCTGGGTCTGGCTGCGGCATTATATAGTGGTGGTTCACCTCTATGGCTGCTTTCAGTGCTAAAATGGCATTGGGTAGAAGAAACACTTGGATTTCATGGTTATGTACTGCTGCGCTGAGTTGTACTCTCAGAGCCTGCCACCTCAGGACACCTAAAAACCAAGAAAAACAAGCAGCCTGGGGTTCTGGCTGTCCAAAAGGGAGGAAGGTCAACCTTGAGGTATGGGCCACACGTGGTGGCGCGAATCTGTAATCCCAGCACTTGAGAGGCTAAGGCACAAGGATTGCCTGGGTTCAAGGCCAGCCTAGGCAACATAGTGAGTTTAAAACAAGACTGCATAGTAAGACCCTGTCTCATAAAACAAACAAACAAAACTGTGAACACTGGTAGCATAGCAGTGTGTCCTGTCACCCAAAGACACAAGTTCTAAATAATAAGTCTTACAAGCATGTGAATTTTACAGAAATGGTTTCTTCTGCAACTTGAATTTTATTTTTAAATTTTATTTATTTGGTACAGGGTCTCACTATGCAGCTAGGACTCCTAGTGATCTTCCTGTTTCAGCCTCCCCAGAGCTGGGATTATAGGCATGCACCATCACACCTAGTCTTGGTGGCCTGCTTGGTGCACCTGTGGTGGGGCAAGCATGGCAAGTGGTATTGGGGATCAAACCCAGGTCCTTGCACTTGCCTAGGCAGGCACTCAGACCGCTGAGCTATCTCCGTGGCCCTGCAACTTTAATTTTATACTCCCTTCTTTTCCTTTCTGCTGTGCTTAGAAATGAACACATGAGAGAATTCTATAAAAGAGAATTTGTAGGAAGAGAGTAAGAATAAAGCAGCAGTTGTAGTGAATTAAGGGTATGTGTTGTGGAAGGGGGGAGCTCAATGGTACAGTATGTGCTTAGCATGTGCAAGATCCTGGATTCAAGCCCAGCACATAATTCAGAATCAAAGGGCTCTGAGTTTATCTTCTATCTGCTCTCCTTGTGTAACTCTGAACAAAAATACTGTCATCTCCAAACTTCACTTTCTAAATCTGTGAAACAGAGATAATAGTACAGGCCCTGGGCCAGGGAGATGGCTCAGTGGAATAAGCGCTTCCCTGGCAAGCGCAAGGGCCTGAGTTCAATCCCCGGTTCTGCCACACACACACACACACACACACACAAATAATAATAATAATAATAATAATAATACCTGCCCTGCAGTGTAAGGGAGATTAATACTAATAGTTAACTTTAGTGTGTGCTTATCATGTGACAACATGGAAGCACTCTACATATATTATCCCAATTAGTCCTCATAGCAATCCCTCCTTTTATCTCCATTTTAAGGCAGTCGGAGTAACGAAACAAACTGTAGATTGCATAGGGTCACAAAATAAACAAATGGCTTGGAGTGGATTTACATCCAGATATGTGAGCTCAACTAGCTGAGTTTCATGAGCTTACTGTAAAGAACAGTAACTGTGGTTACTGGCACACAGGAAATACTCAATTCACTGCTACTATGAAAAAAAGGAGAACTATCTCAAAAATTACTTTTTGGCAAAAAAACACAAATATGACCAATGAAATAACTGAAAGCAAACACAAATCCAGTCTTCAACAAAGGGGCCAAGAACAGGAGTTAGAGAAAAGACAGCCTCTTTCACAAATGGTGCTAAGAAAATTGTTCATAGAACAAATGCAGAAGAATAGACCTAGACCTGTGTTTCTTTTTTTCTTTTTTTGTGGTGCCGGGGATTGAACTCAGGAGCTTGTGCTTGCCAGGCAAGCACTTACTCCATGAGCTATCTCCCAGCCCCCTAGACCTGCATTTCTCACTTGGTACTAATGTAAAAAACAAAAATGGATCAAAGACCTAGATACCAAAGCAGAAACACTTTAACTGCTAGAAAATAGGTAAAATTCTTAATATAGGCATAGGTAAGGACTTTGAAAAACTTGAGACAGTCTCACTGGCCCTGAACTCATTGTGATCCTTTTATGTCAGCTTTCAGAATGCATTCTGGGATTACAGGTGTGTACCACCACACCTGACAAGGACTTTCTGACCAGAACCTCAACTATACAAGAAATAACACCAGATGTCAACAAATGGGATTATATCAAATTAGAAAGTTTCTGCACAGCAAAGGAAACACCAGCAGAGGGAAGAAACAGCCTATGGAATGGGAAAAAGTTTTGCCACTTACGCTTTCGACAGAGGACTAATATCTATAATATATGAAGAACTCAAAAAAATTAGACCCAAGGGTCAGGTAGATAGCTCAGCGGATTAAAGCACTTGCTTAGGCAGATGCAGGGGTTAGAGGTTGGATCCCTGGCCTGCCATGCCAGCCCCACCCCCTGAGCGCGCACTGAGAAGGCAATTGAGACTGGGCATGGGGACATGCCTATAATCCCAGCACTTGGGAAGCTGAAAACAGGAAAATCACTACAAGTCTTATCCGTGTAGTGAGACCCTGTAGACACTGCACTAAATACATAAAATAAATAAAAAAAATTAGACCCTGCCCCCAAATAAAAGACCCAATCAAAAAATGGGCAACTGAAATGAACAGACACATCTCAAGGTGAAGTACAAATGGCTAATAAGTACATAAAAAATGTTCAGCATCTTTGGCCATTAGAGAAATGTGAGTCAAAACAACACAGATTCCATTTACTCCAGAAATAATGGCAATGCTGCTACCGGAAGTGCTTCTTGATCCAACATCTGACCATGGAAGGAAGGTTTCTAAAAGAAGGTCTCCACCCCACCGCCCACCGCCCACCCCCCACCCCCATCCTGTTTTTGTGTAGCCTTTAGGAGGTTGTCCCTCTTCTCCCGAAATAAGCCTTGAATTCTATTTCCCTCGTTTTCTGAGCTGCAACAGTGGCACAGGTACAGTGAATGACAAAGCACTGATCAGAGCAGATTCTGTGTGGCCCGCTTACCTGCTCCAGCCTCTCAATGAGCTCCGCAGGCGTCAGGACCAGTTCCTCACTCCCCTCATCGGAGTCCTGTCTCGTGAGGTCCAGCTCCTCTGTCATCGTCTCTGAAACCAGGAACAGAATGAAAATGAACCAATACTCTGTAGGTGTTTGCTATTTATCTGCAAGAACAGGCTACTAGGCATTTGGAAAAGCTTCCCGGGCCACAGGAGCCGGTAGCTGCGGCCAGGTAAGCTCGCAGGCTGACTTTTCCGCGTTTCAATTTCTCGGAGGCGTCCTTGTCCATCCTGACCGTGCCCCCACCACGCTGGACAGTGCGTACTCTGGTGTCTTCGCTCACCTCTGTGGCTAACCCCTCTCTATTAGAAGATGAATCGCGCCTGCGTTCAGAGCCTGGCACCTATGGGTAGTGGAGTCACAATGGCCTGTTCCAGCTGGGCGGGTGGTGAGAAGGGCGGTTCCAGGCCGAGATGCTGGCACCCCGCCCACACCGGCTCGCGGCCGACCGGCTCCCTCCGAGGAGCACTGCGGAAGGACTGGCGGACGCACAGAGCGCTCCCTGGAACGAACCTCGCGGCCAGGACCCCGCTTTCAACCGACACTCACCAGCCTCACTCCCGCGCTCCTCTCGGAAACTCTCCGCCAGGCACAACGTCACCACGCACGGCAAGCGCTCACCAATCACGCCCCGGGAAAAAGAGACAGCCTGCCAGCCGGCCATCGTGGCCACGCCCACCAGAGGGGCCGGCGCTAGGGCTGCAGTCCCGGCCGACTCCAGCCGAGACTTCCAGGAGAGGGCGCTTCATTCGACCCAGGAGGTCTGGTGAAGGCCACCTTCGCGTCTGCGCACACCCTGCCTGGCGGTGGGGCCGGCCGAGAAATGGGTAGTTCAGGTCAGGCGGCGTCCCTCTCGCTGTCATCTCCTGCACCTGAGCCTCTTGTAGCCCTTTAGTTACTTCGTGTTTGCCAGCGCTTCAGCTGCGGGTTCTACAACCTGCAGGCTAGTGGCTCCCGAAGTGGGGCACCAGGCTACGGGGACAGCGTCACCGGCCCCTGGAGAAGATGGTGTTCTCACTCTGTGGGAGGGCCCGGACCTTCTAGGTGATCCTGTTCTTGGCGATTTGGGAAACACTTCTGGAGGCAGTGTCTCCTCTTTCGGCGCTGTCTCTCCAGGTCGCTCTGACTTGGTAGGGCAAGGCAGTCCTACCACGTGTTTATTCATTCCACTGGGTGAGATCAGGGTTTCTTCTCAGCTGCTGACGTTTTCCTCTTCTGCTATTTTTCTGTGCAAAGTGTCACTTCTGACTTCCCTAGATGTCTCTTCTCCACCAATCCAAAGACTGGGAGCTTTTCCTCTACCCTGTTGATTGACGAGAATAAAAGATTGCCTGATTGACAGGTTGATAGTGCCTGCCTGATTGTAATCATGTATGAAAATTACAACAGGATATGTCAAGAGAGTTTATTTACATAGGGCTGTGATAGTTGGGTCCATCAGAGAGGAATTTCCAAAAGGATATTTGAAGAATCTTTCAGAATGTGCTTTGTGAATGACAGATGACCTTTGCAGGTGCTTTTTCACCTGTGTTCCAATTATTTTGTTATCTGCATTTTGTTATCAACATTCCATCAAGGCTATTTGTTCCTCCCTTTTTTTCTTAGTGCCAGGCAAGTGGTTTACCACTGAGCTACACCTTTGTCCTTGAGCTACACCCCTTTTCTTGCCTGTCTTTGCGTTTTAAATTTGGGAGTAGCTTTGATGCTTCTTTGAGCAGGAGAATTTGGCAATGGGGATGCTGCCTGGCTTTCAGGACTAAGTCCACCGCTGCTTCCACCTGGCTCTTTTCTTTGAGCTGCACCCCTGGGGACCCTAAGTGGATGTAGGAAGGTTGGCTTCCTTGCAGCTGCTGTTTTGGGGAGCCTGTGTGCAGTGGTCATCCGGAGAGAGCCATCTCATCATCCAGATGTCTGGATCGAATGAGGCTTTAGACGATGCTGCCTTTGAAACTAATCAGTCCAGTTAACAGTAAGGGGTGCACAGATGAGCTGTTGTGCACCAAACAGAGGTTGTCTGAAGGCCAAGCGAGAGCCTTGGAATGGTCTACTGTGCAGTGTTAGATGACTGAACGCTGGTGTTTGAACACAGCTCCATTCTTACATAATTTTCATTACTACAAATGCATTCAATGACCTCATTAACATTTCTTAAGTGTTACAGATTAAACACAGATAATGTTTCCACACAAAAATATCCTTTCTCTTGGATCTCTTGCCACTTACCTGGTCCCTCACTTCTACTTTCCTGCTAGGAAATAAGAATCATTATTTAATGGAGGTGTGACCTTAAACAATACACTTCTCTGGGCATTGTTTATTAAGTTAGAATAAAATGTGTTTACCTTCCTGCTTTACCTTGGTCTTAACCATCCAGCAGAAAAGTATGAAGATGAAATTATAAGAAATAAAGCCATGCTGTTAAGTTGAGCTGTGGGGGACTCAGGTCAATAATTTCTGACATTGCCAGTTAAACAGAAGACCCAATGCTATTATGGGCTACTGGACTCTTTTAGAATATTTTGCTGAGTTTACACACCTATAATATTCAATAACTTTGAAAAAATGGGGTATACAGATGAATGTCCATTTTGTATCTGTGTATTCAAAGTGGTTGGGATAGATATATAGTTACATTCTGTTAATGAATAGAATGATTTGTTCTAATGGAGTTTGTAAATAGGATCACAAGTCCGCATCTTGTACAGCAATTAACCACTAAGAAGAATATATGCAGTGTATTATTTGTTGAAAAATAAAAAAAATAAATAAAAAAAAGAAAAAAAAATAAAATTTAACATGAAAAAAAAATGTGTTTACCTGAAGACAGAGAAATAGACTGAGAAACTTGGGAGACTCTTTTCACGTCTAAGATTTTTGATTCCAGAAGACATTAATCAGACAAAATTCATGTAAATGTTGCAGAACAGTATTTTTAGTTTGTAAAGGAGTATTAAACTGGGTGTGCTGGCTGGTGTACATCTGTAATTATAGCACTCTGGGAGGTAAAGGAAGGAGGATCAAAACCTCAAGTCCCACCTGGACAAGAAAACAGGGATGTATCTCAAGGTTCACTTCCTGTTAGGTTTTTTACTACAGTAAAGAGACAGGAAAGATAAAAGAGGCCTTTATTGACACTGAGGACATGGAGAAAATCCAAAAGAGATGGGATCCTCTGACCTGAGATAAAGGAAGGCTGAGACTTCATGGACTTTTCCTAGGGGTAGAGTTTGAGGGATAGTTTCAGTGACACTTAAAGAGCTGATTAGGGTCTTTCTTGTGTGTGTGAAAGGTAGCCAGGGCTGGGGTGGGGAAGCAAGAGGAGGTGGTCATTAGAAGATAAGTTGTTTTTGGGATTCAGCCATGTTGAATCACAGGGCCATGATAATTCAGCAGTTTGTGCTTGAGCCAGAACTATCACTCCCCAGTACTGAAATACTACTACTACTAACAACAATAATAATAATCCCCAGTACTGAAAAATAATAATAAGAAGAAAAGAATACTAAAGACACTTTTTTTAAAAAAGAAAAGAAGACAAATGTGATGAAACAGCTTGTTGTGTTCTCCAGGAAGGTAGGAGAAAGATATCTTTATGTTATGGTATGTAAGAAGAAAATCAGAAACATCTGGTTGATGTGCACTTTATCAAGTTATGTAGACATCAGTATAAAATGGAATGTTCATTAAAATGTTCATGTAAAAAGGAAAGTATGAGTTATAGTAGCAAGAGGAGAAAGTCTCATGATAAGTGTATCTTCTGGGCAGAATTTGTAGGTAAGTTCTGATGATTGAAAGAGCAACATGAATGTGTGAATAAGAAGTTAGAAATATGAACTCATAAACATGGTAAGAGAAAAGTTACTGGTTAAATGTGAAGAGAATAAAGAAACAGAATCTAAAATAACTAAGAAAGTGACAGGTTAATGCAATTCCCAGACATTTCTTAAGACAGTAATAGTATTAAATTAAAAATTAAAAGAAGAAAAAAGGTGGTGTAATAGTTGATACATTGTGTCACCCTGAGTTTAGCAGTATCACTCAGTGGGGGCTGGGGTCCTTACTTTGTAAATATCCTGTTTGTGGATGAGGAAGCTCAGAGATGGCATGGACAGAGAGCCAGTGTACATTATAAGGGAGCAAAAGGTTTGCCTTCCCTCTTTCCCTTTCTGTTCTTGCTGCTTTTTCTGTCTTCTGCTGCCTTAAACTGTTACCCCTGTGCCATGGTCCCTGCCTTAGAGCCAGCTGATTATGGACTGAAACCTCCACTAACTGTGACCTAAATAAACCTTTCCTTCCTTCATTTTGTGTGTGGGGTATTTTGTCTCAGAAAGGAGAGAAAAGCAACCAAGACAAATGGGCACAGAAGTTAAAGTGTTGCTAGGCAAAGCTTTTAGGGGCAAGTGCCCAAGTATGCATGGGTGGGCCAACCTGTTATCCCTTTAAGTGAGTGCTGACATCTCTTCAAGATTTTGTTTATTTCAGATAAGTCCCTTTGGAGAAAAATGCAAGGAGCTGGCCCAAAATAGGCAAGTCATGCTGAGTCATCCTTCTAGGTGACCTGGAGTAATCTGTGCTTATCATAATACTTTCAATATGCAGGTTTCACCAATAAAATCCTATCTCACCTGTATTTGGAAAGGCATAATATGGGGATTCTCCTAGGGGTCTTAAGTATACCATAACTCTTTGCTCACTCCTTTTTCTTTAGGTTGTGCTGATTGACTTTGCACTTACCAATTTGTGAACTTAGTGTTGGAGACAGACTTGCAATTCAGTACACTTAATCAGTGCAGTCCTGAGTAGTGTTCTACAGGGCAAGTGCTGCAGGTGAGGTTTTTAAATAAAGAGATTCCCATAACTGTTTTTGGAGGCAATCCACAGGCTGGGCAGAAAACCCAGTTTGAAAACTTGTTCTTATTGGTCAGTGAATCAGGAAACTGACTTCAACTTATCCAAGTCTATTATTGGGATATTGTTTAGTTTAACCTTTTGCAGGGGAAAAGTGCAACCTGCTTAGAAACTCATAGTTTTACTTTAGAAACTCTTAAACATAATTTCTTCAGGGGCCAGGGAGATGGCTCAGTGGAATAAGTGCTTCCCTGGCAAGTGCAAGTACCTGAGTTCAATCCTCAGTTCTGCCAAAAACAAACAAACATAATTGCTTCATTTTCCTTCACAGTATCTATTGTACAACAGCTAAAATATTTGTCCATAGCTGTATCAGTCAGTGCTTATTAGAGAAAACAGATTTAATGCAAGATATGCAAATATATAAGAATTTACTAGGGCCGGCCAGATAGCTCAGTGGACTAAAGCGCCTGCTTAGGCACACACAGGGACCAGGGTTTGATCCCCAGCATGCCATGCCAGCCCTGTCCCTGGGGCATGCTCAGCCAGCAAATGAGACTGGGTGTGGTGACATACGACTATAATCCCAGTGCTTGGGAGGCTGAAAACAGGAGGATCACTATAAGTCCAATCTGTGTAGTGAGACCCTGTAGACCCTGTCCTAAATACATTAAAAAAAAAAAAAAGTTAGAAGAGCTTATTAGATTCACTTATAATGGCTACCCACAGAATTAGGCCTGGAAGACTGAAAAAGGTCTTGTCTGCACACTGGGGGTCTGAAGGAGTCAGTCCAACAGCTGGAGCTCAGCGCAGTACCCCATTTGAGTTGTTTCAGGAGGCCAAAAGGAAGGCACCAGAAGACTGAAGGATCATTCCTGGAGGCTAAAGAGTCGGCAATGGAAGCCAGGAGAAAATGTCTAAGGTGAAATCAAAGAGGAGTTCCTTTGTAGGAAACAGAAGCAATCCTTCCCTCTTTTCCTTTTTACATCCTTCTGGTGATAATCTTACCTAGGGTGGGTCTTTCACACTCACAATTATGCTGAGTCATTTTAGGTGGGTATGTCTTCAATAGACACAATGAAACATCACAGTAGCTCTGGAAACATTCATTCATAAGAAGGGAGGAAACTAATTTTTGAAGTAACCAAGGACATATGACAATACTTGATGTCTGTACTGTTGTGAGAAGTTTTCTGGAGGATCATTGTGTTTAATATCATCAATCCTTTTTTGACCAACAGCTGTTTCCCCTTCATCATGATTCCGTCATACTTGTGACCTCACTGCTGAAGCATTAAGTTTAGGGAATGTATTGGTCAAGCAGCTTAATCCCCCAGTCCTTCTAAATGAAAATTTCCACGAAGGCTAGGAATGTCAGACAGCATCTTATATGATTAAGGGTGGCAGAAAGGTTCTTTAGAATGTCTCCTTTTAGGCTCATAAGGAAAGGTGATGGTTGGTAAATGTGTATTTTTCTGGTCAGTGATGAAACCTAGTACCTTCATGTGTGAGTGAAAATTGAGGCAAAAGGGTCAGGTTTGGGTTTCCTTCACAAATGTAAAACTTGGGCAA